GTTAAGGTCATCTGTTTCTTTTGCCAAATGGTTAACGAGCAGGATGTCATGTGGTCAGCACAACGACCAACCGCCTTTACTTTCCCCAACTTAAGTCAGATACCCCACTTATTACAAGGGTAATAACAAATTGGAAATGGAGAGAGTATGAAGCTGTAGCGAAACTACAAGCTGCTGCTTCTTTCTTCTTCTTCTTTGTTCTCATTTTCATGTTGGAGTGTTCAGAGGACTAGACCAATACATGAGATGAACTGCGCAGTGGTTTCCAGATCAGGGAGCTCTCCATATAGTTTCCTTTCTATTTGGGTGATTTGGGGCACTGGCGGATCCAGGGGGGGGGGGGGGGTGCGGACGAATTTTAGTATGGAAGTCACACAATTTGTATACGAATTTATTACTTATGTTAATAATATATACTAATTATTTCTATTTCAAACTATTTTTAGATTATTTCGCCCCCCCCCCCTCTAGTATGTTGGCCGATTAGGTGGTGTTGGGAGGGGGCGATAGCATCAATCCGCCCCCCCCCTCCCAACCATAAGCTTTTGAGTGGAGAGGGGGCGGTCCAATTTATCTATAGAAATCGCATCTTGCTAACAGAATCAATTAAATATCTATATAATTAAAACTTGTTATTGATATTTTAACCGATTTTTATATTATGTTGTTCTCCTGTTCCCCGATTGGTGTGGAGGTGGGGGCGAATACCTCTAGTGCCCTTCCCACCTAAACCCTTTGAGTGGGGGGGGGGGGGGCGGTCCTACTTTTATGGAGAAATCATAGTTTGTAAACAAGATTAGTTGAATTGATATATAAATTTGATATGTCGCTCCCCGTCTGGTATCTTGACCGATTCGGTGGGGTAAGGGGGGGGCGATTGCATGTACCGCCCTCCCCGCTCTAGCCCTCTGAGTTGGGAGTGGTCCTATTTTTATGGATAGTTTGTGAACAAAAATAGTTGAATATCTATATAATTGTTATGTCGCACCACACTCTAATCTCAAATTTTATTATTAGTAAATATAAAAGGGGAGGGGCGATACATGCCATCTCCTTTCCCTCCTCGGACAAAGCAATACTTTCTTCTTTTTGTATTATAGTTAAGAAATTACAAAATAAAACAAAAATCTGTCACTAGTATAATTTATATATGCTATAAATTAAATTCATATATCGAGTCTCCCCACCCCTAGTCTTTAATGCCAAATGCAATCATTAGCAGAAATTATAAAAAGGAGCGAGAATAAATCGTTTCCATTCTACCGCCCCTCCCTTTCCAGACAGAGTTTATGTCATTTCACATGAATTTATCATAATTATTTTAAGAAAGACTTTGCTTTGGAAAAGTTAGAATTCAAACAAAAATTTTCAGTATATGAGTCTTGGTTGAGATGAGTCAGCTTTTATCAACCTTTAGTCAATCTAATATATTTCTAGTTAAATTTGTGCTTGAATTTTATTGAATATTATTTATCGAATTTTTTTTTTCGGCGGCGATTTTCAAAGCCTTAATTAATCTAAATATGTGGGGTATCTGATCTTTTCAAGGAACAAATCGGTTTTATTAGCAATGTATTAAGGGCCAATAAATTCATATTAGAATATTTTTCAAATACAACATTATTCAAAAGGTCCTTTTTAATAGGATGAATAATGAGCTTTAGGTGAAGAATGCAAGAAATCGCTTTTAGCGTCGGGGCTTCACCCCGAAACTCACTGATGAATCGTGAACTGTAGATGTCAGGAGCAGGCGTTTCTGTAGTGAAAAATGCAAGAAAACGCTTTTGGAGTCGGGGCCTCACCCCAAACTCCACTGATGAATAAAGAGCTGTATATGTCAGGAGAATGCGTTTCTTCAGTGAAGAATGCAAGAAATCGCTTTTAGCGTCGGGGCTTCACCCCGAAACTCACTGATGAATAGTGAGCTGTTGATGTCAGAAGCAAGCGTTTCTGCAGTGAAAAATGCAAGAAAACACTTTTGGCGTCGGGGCTTCGCCCCGAACTCCACTGATGGGTAAAGAGCTGTAGATGTCAGGAGAATGCGTTTCTGCAGTGAAGAATGCAGGAAAATACTGAGAAATAGTGCATATATATATATATATATATATATATATATATATCGGTTTTATATATATATATATATGCACGTTTATGCATAGGGTTAGGGTTTACTGGGAGTTAGGGTTAGGGTTTGGAAAAAAAATCGCCCTCCCTCTCCAAAGTTCTGGATCCGCTGGTGATTTGGGGCCAATGTTTTATACGGGCCTCTTGGTATAGAGAGCAATTTTGGGAGGACGTGGTCTGCATTCTCTGGTATTGTGATTTGGATGAGAGCTCGTCCATTTCTCATTTATTTTATTTACGATTAATTTCTTCAATTCTTCTGGATAGAGTGCAGAGTTTATTAGTGTGTTACTTCTCCTACTCTTGGCGAGTGTGTCAGCCTTCTCATTTCCTTCTAGTTCTATATGAGCTGGTATTCATTGAATTACAGTTTTTTTGCTGCTGTTTTGAGTTTTTTAATATATGAGGAATCAGAGTTTTGCAGGCTTTGGAGGGTTGTTTTTGCATCGGTTAGAAAGACAATCTGACTGTGTGGGGAACTTGGATGATTTGCTAGGATGGTAGCAGCTAGTGCTAGTGCTTTGCTTTGTGCTCTGTGACTGTCAGAGAGCTCTCCAGTTGCAATGGATTTTTCTAGTTTTCCTCCAACTGGCCATTCGATAAGTATTCCAGCTCCTCCATTTGTGGTGGCTTTGTGGGTTGAGCCATCCGTGTAAACTCTGATCCACTGATTGCTAGGATAACTGGTATGTAGAAAACAGTTCACTATTTTCTTGAGCTCTGTTGGTCTGTAATCAGATTTTCTTTTTATGCTTTCAATATGGCCCCTATAGTAGGAAGAGGGCTTTCATCCCAGGGTGGAGATTCATTATAGTGTATCGAGGATTCCAGAGTAATTTTTTCAAGTTGGTGTTTTTTTTTTAGGTTTAGAGATTCCTGTATGAAATTGGTCCTTTTGAGACGTTTTTTTTGGTGACAGTTTTGTGGATTTTTGTTCTGAGTGGGTGCCTCTCCATGGTTTCCAATTTAGTGAATTGGGAAAGGATTTTTATTTCTCTTCTTTCATCCAGAGAGATCAGGACAGCGGTTTCCTCCATAGCTCTTATGGGTGTTGTTTTGATTGCTCCTGTCATTATTCTTAGACCAATATTTTGAACCTTGTCTATTTTTCTTAGGTTGGTTTGGGTTGCTGAGCCCCATAATCTAGTACAGGTCTCACGTAACTGGTCTTTTTCAGGATGTTGTGATTTGCTCCCCAATCTGTGCCAGCTAATTTTTTCAAGAGGGATAGTCTCTGGATGCCTTTACTCTGTGTTTTATCTATTTGGTTTTTCCAGGTTAGTCTCTGGTCATAGGTGACTCCAAGGTATGTAGGGCTGTCATTTTTTTTCTAAAGCTTCCTTATCTAATGTTAATTTTATTGTTTGTTGTTTTGTTGACAGTGAGAATATGGTATATGAGGTCTTTTTTTGTATTGATGGACATGCCCCAGTTTTTGGACCAATTATTGAGTATATCGAGAGCATCTTGTAATCGAAATTTCGATGTTCCTACATATTCCTCTTTTCTAATTAAGGCAAGATCATCTGCATACATGTTGCTTTTAACTTTTCTTGGTAGGTTTTGATTTAGATCGTTTATGAATATTAGGAAAAGGTTTGGGGATAGGACTCCTCCTACAAGCTTCAATTACCCGCTTTATTCCAGTGTCATGCTAGTAACTAATGCTAATAATTACTCCTTGTTAGTATCTCACCACATAATGCAGGCAAAGAAAGCAAAAGAGGAATCTTATGTAGGGGGTGCAGGGAATCCTGGAATCAAACGATGTTTCCTTTGCATGGCAAACATGTATCAACTTATTGCTCAGTTTGCACAACTGATTAGTTTTAGTGCATTAACAAAGGACTAGCCGCGTGTGGGCAAACACTGTTTCTGTTACAGCCTTTAGAATTAACAAAGGACTGGCCGCATGTGGGCAGACACTGTTTCTGTTGCAGCCTTTAGAATTAACAAAGGACTAGCCGCATGTGGGCAAACACTGTTTCTGTTACAGCCTTTAGAATTAACAAAAGACTAGCCGCGTGTGGGCAAACACTGTTTCTGTTACAGCCTTTAGAATTCAATTGTAAAAGCAATGACGTAGGGAAGAGAATACAATTTTGGAATGGAAATATGACAAGTTTCAATTCTTAACGAATGAGTCAATTCAGTTGGACGATAGCCCACTGTTTTAAAACCTAGATCTAGTGTTGATTGTACATTTGTAGTGTCACTTGTTACAAAAATGAAACTCACCAATCGGAGATGTTCACGATGAAATATACAATGTCAAACTTGTAAACTATTTTTTGTTTTTAAATTTGAGCTAAACTTTTAACAATATCTCAGTATGTAGCAGTGGATCTTCGTATCCAATCTTTATTACAGTTTGTAAATTTTTTAATTAAAAAGTGGAAGCTAATACTTACTTCATAATAAAATTACTTGTGTTGCATTAAAAGTAATGGACCTCATTCACCAATCGTAAACAAACACCATTTTGCCACGTGGTTCTCTATATCTTCTATACAAATTACGCAATCCATAAAGGCTGCCACGCACGTGATACGTAATTTTCATTGCTTTATCAATATTATCACGTGGCTAAATGTTGTTTGTTTACGATTGTTGAATGAGGTCCATCCTGCAGTGCCAAAAATGATCATACACTGTACCGGTACCTTTTCAAGAAACAGCGTATCAACACTTCATTTTGTACACCGGGCACAAAAAAGATAGCTATTTATAGTTTTTCCGTCATGTATGAAACTCTCCTATCAACTTTTCAAGTCAAGAATGACTATTTGCGTATTTGTTCTATTTCCATTGTAAAAAAAAGCCTGTAACATTTGAAACAGAACAAAGTGACAAGAAGCCAAAGAACAACAAAACTCATTTTGTTTCGTATGATTTATTGATTTAGTTTTTGCAAGTTATGTGTGTCAAGGTTATTGCAACATCAATTATGAAAAGAACAAATTTTGTACAAGTTATCTCCAAATAAAGAGAGAAATGAAGGCAATGACATAGTCATGTGTGGGCCCATATCAGGCCATGCAGGGGAAATCACCCAGAGACAAGACAGGTTTAGTTAGTACTAGTGTTATATTGACAAGAGTTACTTGCCCTGCCGTCTAACTACATTTTTAAAAACGTAAAGAATGGCTGCCAAGGTGGTCGTACATGTGTGTGTGTACAAATGACTGGAAAAAAATGAACTAAAAACAAAACAAGTTAAAAACATGTTTACATAATCGAATTAGATCATTCTAAAAGAAAAGGGGGGGGGGGGCAGTACACGACCAATTGAATGTGAGATTGGGAGGTACTGTACAATCTGAAGCAACTCTTCTGTTATCATTAACTTTGGGGGGGGGGGGGGGGGGTGGGGGGGGGCGAATAGAGTTTGCCTTTCAATAGAGACTCTGAGACCATCTAAACAATTGATGATGGATTGTCAATGTGATCTTTGAAATGATGTCCACAACAAGAAGAAATGCTTAGCAAGCTTTAGATGAAACAATGTGGCAATGTTATGGCATGGAAGATCTTTCAAAACAGTTCTAGCAATGTATGGGCCAGAGTTGCTGAGAGAAATGTTAGATCCAGTTGAAGCTTTTTGTCAAGACTGAATACATTTCAGAAGTTCTAGCTGCTAGTTGTACACATGAGGCCCATACAAGTGATAAGTAGTTGGCCATGAAACTGAAAATGGAGGTTTAGAAATGGCAGCTGTTTCTCTGTAAATATGGACATCAGAAAAAGAAAAAAAGGTTCTTTCTAAAATATTACAAATGGCTTCATTAAAAACTTTCATGAACCAACAATTGGAAAAGCTGTTTTCATTAATACATTTCAAATATACTCTTTTATTATCTGCTATATTTATTAATTTTTTTAGCTTCTATATGTAGAAAGAATTCAGTAAGAATTTAATAGTGTTTAGTGAGACAGCATAATTTCAAACATTGTTGGTTGAAGTTAAAACAATTTTTCCAACTTAAATAAAATGTCATAAAGCTTTTTTTTTTTTTTTTAAAAAGCAGAAAGCTTATACTGGAAACCTGTCTGTGGTAAATACACACACACACAAATAATAATAAAGAAATCAGGATTATTCCTGGTGGCTGGTGAATACACCTTCATCTCCACAGTTCTTGGGAAAAAAAAAAAGTTTTCAGGCAGCGAGTACAATTAAGTTTAAGCAGCAGTTGTGATTGTCAAATTATTTACAATAATAGAAACTTTGTTATGAATACAATCCAAATGAGACATGGAAATATCAGAGTCAAGTCATGAATACAAATGAGACAGTCTAAGGGTAAGTAAGAGTCTATCAGTATTACGGTCCGTGTTACAACAAAAAATGCAGATAAAACAGGTAGTTTTGTTTAGCATGGAGTTAACAATAGAACCCCCACGTTTTAGCTTCTTAAGATGCTCAAGTTACTTCCCTTAGCATAAGTAATACAAGGAATACCCTAGGATTTAATTCCCCTAGCACAGGCAAACAATTTAACCCTTGTCAATAACAACTGTACTTTAAACAATAAAATACTCACATTGAGTTTCAAAAGGCTAAGAACTTTTATTTTAGTGCAATTCTATTTTAGCTGAATTCATTGTATTATTAATTTTAACAATTACTGTATAAATCTAGTTAAACTCAATTAAAATAAAAGTTACTAGATATTGGTTTATGACCATTCTAACAGACCAAGCTAATACCTCTATAGTGTACACCTTAACTCTAGGTACAGCAACGATATAAATATATCCAAAATGCTCTCTGACTAAATTTCCATGAATAAGTCTTTATAACAGTGCTGCCTATGCTTGCACACAGTCTGGTCAGAGGAATGGCGTCTCCTCTCCAATATTGTAGAGTGTTTCAATAGATAATCCCTGTCAATAGTGACTGCTAAATGTGGACAGGCAAACAGGTGAAATAAATGGATGAGAAATGAGACGACTAGAATGGACAACTGGTTGTGAAGCTGGTAATACAAAGCATGAACCAATGAGAGGTGACAAGGTGAGGTCACATGACATCAGAATAATGTCAGGTGATAAGATAAATGTCTTCATATTAAAATCATGTCAATTGCCACCAAGACACAGATACATTGTTGAATCTTAGGATAAGTTTCAAAAGTCTATATTTGTAACTGCTATACTGTGGGTAAGGGAGAGCACACATGCACACACATACTGTACACTATAATTGAAATCCAATCTCTGGATGCAAGATGAGCTGTTGGACATTTAAAAACAATGGTTGATCAAATAGGTCAATCTTGAAGGTCAACTCCCTAGTTATCAATAAGCAGCCAAAAAATGAGAATTTCAGGTCCAACTTTAAAAACAATAATAATTTCCTGTTAAAAATAACTATTTGAACAGTTCAACATAAGTTTGTGATTTTTAGTTAAAACAAAATATAATAAAGTATGAAAGTTAGCGCATAAACATTTTTTTTTAATCAATACAAATTTTAAAGAGTTGAAAAAAATGATATTGCTAAGGAATAAAACTTGCATAATAATGCTGCGTTGGATGTGTATGTGTGTTGCAGTGTATCTTCATCTCAAAACAGCTATACAACAATTGAATTTTTTTAAATTCTAAAATACGATCAAAGCATGCACAAAGAACTAAGTTAAAATACCCAACTAACTGCAAATTACTAACTCTAATCCTAGTATCTCATTTGTAATAATTGAATAATCCCACATTCAGTTCTTTCAGAAACGTGTTTAAAAATTTATTTTCCTATATCTGAACAATACTAAAAGGTTTGCATTGAATGAGAGCCACCATCAACTCTCAGCATTTAAGACAGTGACAAGGACATTAACTTCAGCTCTAGTTACCAATTTGTTTTAAACAAAAATGTTCCCTTTCTATTCTCCCCTGAGAGGATATTTGCTGCAAATTAACTAATTTGTGCATTTATTCACAAACAAAAAAAATCTTGATGTGAACACCATATGCAGAACAGTTAAAACATAATTCTAGTTTCTGCCTGCAAAAATGATGTGTCATATGTGCTATCATTGAAAAAGGAGACATTTTTTTAAAAATATCTATTAGCTTCAAAAATGTAATTGCTTCATTGGTTACAACTTTTTGTGTAAATAACTAATTTTTTTTTCAAATTTCTATGCCTTTAAATTTAAGGCAAAACATACAACTAATGTGTGTTTTAGTAAAGTTTAATGGAGTCTGGACTTAATTTGATATGGAGAAACAACATAAATAAAAATATATATATTTTCCAGTTAAAGTCAAAATTTGAGAGATTCCTGGAAACATAAGGGTGTAATGTTTATCAGACACACTGCAAAATTATTTCAACCAGATGAAGTAAAAGAGTTGTTGGTTCCAATGTGAATGTACTTCTATAAGATGTATTACAGACACTAAATGACTGCACTACTTCACAAGCACACATTAAAAAAAAAAGAAACAACATGTGCATATCTAGCATTGTAACTTTCTACAGTTTTAGCTGCACAATTTTTGTACAAATAAAAGTTAAAATATTTTTAAGACTTGAAATGCAGTGAATTTACTTTTGCAGTTTCAGTAATATGAAAACATTTATACCATAGAAGTAAACACTAATTCCTAAATTGGTGTCATTTTTTTTCTTCAACCTTGTTTAAAAACCTAGGCATGTATTATAGTGAAATCTACTTCACAAACACACACCCATGCAAGTCATTTATGTAGATCACATTCACAAACATACCTCACTTCTCAAAATAATAAAAACATTACAACAATAAATGTCATTTATTTTTTAAATTAACAAAAAATGGTCAACTTATTTACATTAAAAAATTGATACTAATTCTTAAAAAAAATTGTTGTGTCTTGTTCTAGAAACATGATGTTTGTAGAAAAAAAAAATGTGTCTGCTTCTAGAAACATGTTGTTTCTAGATAATAGTGATCTGTTTAGGTTGATGTACACTTTGAAAACTTTACACATTTCTTTTGCACAGCCCAGTGGTCATTTGAATAGCAGGTAAATATTTACATACAAATGTTATTATGAAATGAATAGAATTTTAATTGTTCTTTTATATTTGTGTGTGAAACTGAAAATAAGCAAAACAATCCCATGCGACACACTCACATAATAAATAAGTTCCCACAGAACAAAAATTGCCTGTTTAGCAAAAGCGTGAGCCAAACATAGAACTAACATTCATCTTCATTCACAGCCTGAAAAAGACACATTTCACTGAAGCATTCAGTTTACCATGTTAAAATATACTGGATAATTTGTTTCCTATTTGCGCCATTACAAAATACATTGGAAGCTACGGACTGTCTGATATGAAAGATCAACTAAAGCCTGTAAAACAAAAAACTGCTAACATAATTAACAAATTAAATGAAAATAATGGCTACAACAAAAATAAAAGCCACTGGACATGAAGTTTTGGAGATATGGATAGCCTGGGAGTTCCCATCGAGCCACTTGACATGAAGTTTTAGCGATATGGATAGACTGGGAGTCCCATCATCTCTGTGGCTGTCACTAAGAGGACTAACATGATCAATAGGGAGGCAAGTGATCCCAACAGCTCGCACAACTGTCATACTGCAGACTGTTTGGGGTTGGTTCCTATGGCGACCAGAGCGGCCACTGTGATGGCTACCCTTGAGATTCCTTTCTCATCCAAGATGTCATGTGGTCCACACACCTGTTCCTGAATGGTTTGGGGAGGGGGGGGGGGGGGGGGGGGGGGGGGAAACAAAAACATGAATGTTACTTAACATACAAAATATCAATTAACATTGTGTTGCCTTCTTTAGATATTACTATACAGACTAGTCTTGAAAAATAACAAGAAATATTAACCAAAAAGGAAGGTCTTATACATGGTCTTGTGTAAGGAAAGATTGCATGTTGGCTTGTGACCCATGAAAATGTTCAAGTTCTCTTACAATCAACATTCACTCAGAACCAAACACTTATTGCAGAAAAGAAAAAGTCAATAAATATATCAGTTAAGATCACAAAATTAACATAATATGTCGGTCACATTTACAGGGGAGAAATGTACTGTCGGTCACATTTTCAGGGGAGAAATGTACTGAGTTAATCACTTTTGAGATGCCATTGTTGATGTAATATATTTTTTTTTGTTCTGTGCTATCATCTGTGAACTAAGTAGTTCGGTCATAGGTCAGATGTATCCCTTTCTGGTTTTAAATTAAGCAAATCACAGGTTGGCTGCCTGGCCATGCGGTTTCTACATTGGACTGTCATT